ATATTGCAAGATCATGTTTCCATGAGTCAGAAAGATTAGAGTTGGCATCCTCGACAAAGAAAACAGATTACTAACTCATTGTAGAGAGACCCAGGAAGGGTCTCTTTCACTAAAAGGCTCCTGTAAAATGTCTACAATGCCAAACGGGCAGATCCATTTTTATTACTTGGTTTTGGATGCCCAAAAGAAAAAAGAACATTCAATAACTTCCCAATTCTTGGCTTGAAAAAAATGCCAAGCACCGCAGACAATACTCTAAAACGTCTATTGCTAATAGCTTTCTGCAAATCAGGCCATACGCATGCAATGCTCCAGTGACCACTAGGAGTGCTTCCCTTTCCATCTCCAAGTATCAGAGGAAGGTACAGAGATTTCTTTAGAAGTGCTTATTTAACAAGATCTGCTTAGTAAATTGGCAGCATGGGGGAAGTGAGGAGAGTGGTAGGGGAGTGGGGAGAGGAGAATTGGAGAGGCAGAAGAACATGAGTGACAGGGAAGATTGAGTTAAGCAAAGGACAGAGAGGGAGAGAGATAACTTGAAAGAGGGAGTCATTGTGGGGTTAGCGAGAAAACAGGCGCTAGGGAAACTCCCAGGAAACCACAGGATGATCCCAAGTAAGAATCTAAGCAATAGTGGAGAGGGTACCTAAACTGCCCTTCCCCTGTAATCAGATTGATGACTACTTTAATTGTCATCATAGAACCTTCATCCAGTAACCGATGGAAGCAAATGCAGAGATCCACGGAAGCCGATGCAGAGATCCACAACTACACACTGGGATGAGCTCCTGGAGTCCAGTCATAGAGAAGGAGAAGCGATATTATGAGCAAAGGGGTCAAGACCATGATGGGGAAACCCACAGAAACAGCTGACTCAAGCTAGTGGGAGCTCACTGACTCTGGAACCAGCATAAGACTAAAGTAGGCCCTCTGAATGTGGGTGACAGTTTTGTGGTATGGGCAGTTTGTGGGGCCACTAGCAGTGGAACCAGTATATATCCCTAGTGCATGATCTGGCTCTTTGGGGCTCATTCCCTACGGAGAGATACCTTGCTCAGCCTAGATACAAGGGGGGAGGACCTTGGTCCTGCCGCAAGTGATGTGACAGATTTTGTTGACTCCCCAAGGGAGGCCTCACCCTCTCTGAGGAGTGGTTGGGGTGGGGACAAGGTGGGAGGAGTGGGAGGATGGGAGGGAGAGGGAACTGGGATTGATATGTAAAATAAGATTGTTTTAAATATAGATTAAAAAAAGAAAGAAAATTGGGGGAAAAAAAGAAGTGCTTATGTATATATCAATGATGCATGAATCCCTTTCTGAAGGCAAGCTAAGCCATATTTTTAACAGTTATTATTATTGTTCTCTAAGGTTCGCCCTACATGAATTTTAGTCATTGTTCGGGGGGCTGGTGAGAAATCCAGGAGTGGACCACCCGTGACCATGAGATCCCTGCTCCACACCTGACCTGTTTTCCACCTGTGCTTTCTTACCCAAGAAGTCTGCTGAGGACAGGGAAAAACACTGAGATCAGCTTTCACAGGGTTCACTGTCTACTCACATGCATTTACAAACGAGAGAGAGAGAGAGAGAGAGACAGAGACAGAGACAGAGACAGAGAACTGTGCTTTTAGAAGAGAGAAGTAGGAAGTTGCTAAGCTAACCATGTCAAAGACAAAACACAGGATGGTTTCAGGGAGCGGAAGAAGAAAAAGGAGACACTCGGGCTTTGAAAACCACACTGAGATTTAAGAATCATGCAGGGAAGGACACAAGACCTCCGGCAGTCTTTAAAGTGTATTTCCAAATGTTCTACACTGAGGTAAAAAGTACCATTGTCAGCAATAAAGACATGAACGCGGAGTTCAGCTTATATACAAGGAAGTGATTCTGTATTTTCCGTTCTGTGAAGAGGACACCAATGGAAAGTGTATTCAGTTACACTGTCATTCATTAACCCACGCTATCCTCTGTGCAGAATGACCAAGAACTAAAGTCCAATTCACCTAGAAATGCAAGCTCATCTTTAGCTTATCTTTCAGATAGAATGCGGTGAAACCATGATTTTAAAAAAGAAAAAAAGGAAAGGAATGTCCTTGAGGAGAGCTGAGTGGCAGTCCAAGTCAAAGGTGCAGCCCCATCCCTGAAGTCTGGCAGCAAACAGAACGGGAACACCATAGTTAGGCTTCCTGGAACTTACCTATTTTATTAAACGCTTCTTGTAGCTCCTCAAGCTCCTCCCGAGAAATAGTGGTGGTACTGTTTTCCATCTTTAGACAAGAAAGGCTACTTCAGGTCTTTCAATCTAGAAAGAACATATTACAAAGAGAATATTAGCTCTCGGGAAACATTTGGCTAAGGCACGTAAGGCATAGAGGCACCACAGTCTCTGCAAGAAGGGCTGGCTGACAAGGAACAAACAGTAGAGTCTCCTGGTGACACTTTTAGCGTGGGCCAGGAAACAACAACAGATTCGGTATTGGGGGTGGGGTGGGGATGAGCCTTGTTTTTCACACCCATGCTTCTACAGACATAAACCTTCTCAACAGTCTGTATAATTTCCATTTATATTTCATCTGACGATTTCAGTTTGAGGAAAGCACAGCACTTACAAGTATAAAGGATGAAGAAAGTAAAACTTAATAACATTTATAATAGCCACGAAGAGGGTTAGAGTCTGCTCATGCAGAGATGAATTTATGGTCGAAACGTTCAACTTCAAAGTAATCCAACCATAACCACATTCTTCCCCCTTCCCTGTGAAAGGTCAGTCCAGGTTAGTGGAGCCCTTCTCAGAACAGGGAAAACAAACTCAAAAGGGGGAAAAAATGTGCAAAATTAAGCTGTAAGAAAGTAAGAAGTGGGCTCGGTGGTTAAAAGTATTTGCTGGTCTTGCAGAGGCCCTCGGTTCAGTTCTCAGCACTCATAGTGGGTGGCTCACACCTGGAACTACAGTTCCAAGGGATCTAATACTCTTCTGGCCTCTGAAAGTGCTGCACACATATGGTTCACATACAAATAAGCAGGACACACATATAAAAACTAAAAATAACAAAAAAGGTGGTGTTAATTGTATAAAATACACAGAGAAATTTTAAATTACACTCATCTTACTATCCAGAATATCTTACTATCTTACTATCCTAATATCTTCTTTATCTTTTCTCAGATCCACTTTCTAAACACAGATACCTCTGTGTAGGGGGGGGTGGTAAAATGTGAGCATGTTGTCATATTTAGTATTAATGCATTACTAGTTGCTTGCATGTTATTTAGCAATAAAATATTTAATGACCACATATTACTATCCCATAATTTATTTGAGGGAATTCCCTCGTTGCAGAATATTTACATGGTTTCCAATTCTTACACACAATGCCTCAATGTACATCCTTATTCTTATCCATGTTTATTTCTATACAATAAAAATCGAAACATGTAAGTTACTTACATGTTTAAGACTTTTTTAAAAAATGATTTATATATATATGTGTGTGTACACATATATATGTGTTGTGTGTGTATATATATGTGTGTGTGTGTGTGTGTGTGTGTGTGTGTGTGTGTGTGTGTGTTCAGTGTTCTGCCTGCATATATGCCTTCAGGCCAGAAGAGGAAACCAGATCTAATTAGAGATGGTTGTGAGCCACCATGTGATTGCTGGAATTGAACTCATGACCTCTGGAAGAGCAGCCAGTGCTCTTAACCATTGAGCCACCTCTCCAGCCCATGTTTAAGATTGCTGATATACAACAGTTCAACTTTTATGTTTTATTTGTTCTTGAGACTAGGTCTTACTATGTAGCCCAGGCTAGCTTGTGCCCCCTCCTGCTAACTGTTGAGATTATGAGCATACACCACCACACCCAGTACATTTTTAGATGACTGATAGAAACAGATGCAGAGATCCACAGTCAAGCACTGGACTGACCTCAGGGAATCTTGTTGAAAAGAGGGAGGACGGACTGTATGAGCCAGATGTGTGTGTGTGAGTGTGTGTGTGTGTGAGTGTGTATGTGTGTATGACTATATGAGCCAGGTGTCTGTGTGTATCTGTGTGTGGTCAAGGTTATCATAAGGGAACCCACAGAAACAACTAACCTAAGCTCACAAGAGTTCATAGGCTTGAACCAACAGCGAGGGAGCCTATGTGGACCGGACCTAGGCCCTCTACATATGTGTGACTTGATCTACTTGTGGGACTCCTAGTAGTGGAAGCAGAGCCTGTCCCTAAGGCTTCAACTGGCTTCCAGAAACTTATTTGTTTGTTTGCCTTGTCCAGCCTTAGTACATGGGGAGGAGTTCAATCCTGTGCAACTTGATACGCCATGCTTTGTTGACACCCATGGGAAGCCTGCCCCTTTCTGAACAGAAACAGAGGAGGAGTGGACAGGGAAACAGGGGGGAGGGAATGAGAAGGGAGACAGGAGGGGAAACTGCGGTCAGGATGTAAAATAAATAAATAAATTTAATAAAAAAACAAAACTATAAATACTCTCAGTAAAAATATTAAGACACCCCCCCCAAATTCCAAAGACCAGTGGAAGAGAAGAAAAAGATATAACTGAGCCATCCTATGCACTCAAGAGTTCCTTATATCTTAGCATTAGGTATTCATTTTATTAAATTCTCATTTAGAAATTTTTCTATAGTTAACTTTTTTCTTTTTGAGACAGATTCTCACTGTGTAGCCCTGACTGACCTGGAACTCACTATGTAAACCAGCTGACTTTGAACTCAGAGACCCACCTGCCTCTGCCTCCTAAATGCTGGGATTAAAGGTGTGCACCACCATGCTTGGAAGCTATGACTCTTTATAGACACAGCTATTTTGTGTTGAGAGAAATTAATTACCAGGACCTCTAAGCATAACTTAGTAGTTTTTCAAAATGCTATTCCAGTGGTGGTGGCTGTGAATCTCCATGGTCTTGTCTTATTCAAAATTATCTCCATCACTTTCACTTACCTACATTTTTTGTTTGTTTGTTTGTTTGTTTTTTTGATCACACATCTGCCTTTATTGTAAACAGCAGCTGGGACACTTGTAGCAATGGTAAAAAAATTAATTTACAAAAGCAGGGACTTGGTGAAGCTGCCTGGTGGGTACCCTTGGGGACTCATACGTAGATGCCAACCCAGAGCAGGAGAAAGAGAACTCCAAAGCCCATGAAGAGGAACGCCACCAAGGAGATGAGGAGCTCTTTGTAAATGTTGCGTGCGTACTTGGTGGAGGTGACCTCGTAAACGAAGAACCAGGCGGTGAAGAACATGCTGATGGCCAGAAGTACCACAGTCAGGTGTGGGAAGACAGCTGGGCTGACCGGGCTGGTGTACCTACTCATGGCCTCGAGCTCCATTTTGCCCCGCACACGATAAACCACCGGTCCCACTTATCTACATTTTTAAAGGCTGAAAATTACTGTGCTGAGGACTTGGCATTTGAACTAGTAAACATAAAGCTGGGGACCAATGCTTTGCCACACCTATTTGATTTTATGTAATTTGTTAATAATATATAATCATTTTATTTTCCAATAATCAAGCAAAATATTCGCATGTAATGTAGTGAAAAATCATTTTGCCCATATATTATTCTTATTTTTTGCCATTATACCTGATAAGTATAAAAGATGTTGCTTTAAGTCTTTTAGTATTTAAATGAAACAAACAAAAATAGAGAATGATCTGGAGTGTGGAAGGAAAGACAGGGTCTCCCTGTTTAGGCCATGCTGATCTCAAAATTCTCCTGTCTCTGCCCTAGGATTGCAGTTGTACATGTCTAGAACCAGCTGAAGATATACTGCTATGGAATATTAGTTAAAGATGTGTGACATTCTTTTATGCTGTGGCATATCTGTTTAGTGATGCAAAGATGTGTTGTATTCTTTTATGATGCACTTGCTTAACTCTATAAAGCTGTGCTACTTTGCCTATCTAAAACATCTGATTGGTCTAATAAAGAGATGAATGGCTAATAGGTAGGCAGGAGAAATAGGCAGGGCTGGCAGGCAGAGAGAATAAATAAGAGAAGGAGAAGAAGAGGAGGAAGAAAAGGAGAAGAAGATGTCAGGGGCCAGTCGCCCAGCCACACAACCAGCCACAGAGTAAGAAGGAAAGAAAGGTAAATAGAAAAGAGAAAGGTAAAGCCCAGAGGCAAAAGGTAGATGGGATAATTTAAGAAAAGCTGGCTAGAAACAAGCCAAGCTAAGGCCAGATATTCCTGAGTAAGAATAAGTCTCCGTGTATTTATCTGGGAACTGAGTGGAGGGCCCCCAAAGACCAAAGAGTAAAACAAAACAAAACAAAACAAAACAAACAAAATCTCGACTACATATACTCTTTTGTATGTGCACATATGCGTATGTGTTCCTATGTTTACAGGTTTGTGTGTGTAATTATGTATACTTCTGCATGCGGAGGCCAGAGATCAATACTGCATGCCTTCCTCAGTCACCCTCCACCTTAGCTTTGACTCACTCATTTAGTGACACTCGTTGACAGTAATCCCTAGAGACCTGCCTCCCTCCAGCCCTCCAGTACCAGGATCACAGATGCTCACTCTGGACCTGGCATTTTACGTGGTGCTAGAGAGCAGAGCTTAGGCCCTCACACCTGCATGGAAAGTGCTTTATCAATCAGACTTATTTATGTATTGTACGTATATGAGTGCCCTGTCTGCACATGTGCCTGCAAGCCAGAAGAGGGCACAGGATTCCACCAGAGATGGGTGCTGGACACTGAACTCGGGACTTTTGAAAGAGCAGCCAGTGCTCTTAACCTCTGGAGCCATCTCTCCAGCCCTCTTTAAGACACTTCAGTGACTTATGAAACTGAAATTCAAATCCAAGTTTTAATTTCCTAACTTACTGTCGTTTCCACTTAATGTTCATTAAATGCCAGTAAAGCAATCATTATACAGGAAAAATGAAAGATGAGAACTGCTTCTCAAGAGGAAATGCAGACGGCCACGCAGTAGTAAAGAAACTTTATTTTCAGTATAAAACAAGTTCTGTATCCTTTTAGAACATAAGCCTTCTAGCCCCTCTAAATCACTGAAACACAGAGAAAGTAGCTATGACAAGACAGTGAATAAAATATGGTGAGTACCAGTAGCCTGATGCTCTTTCCTAAATACGGATAATGACAATATGGTAAACTTATTGCCTGTTTGTTAGGATTTTAAAGAACACTGGTACTTTTTTAGAACACAAAAAAATGATTAAAACACTAAATATATACACTGTAAATGCATTGTCTCTCCTGCCTTGTGTTCTTATTTAACCTCACCACTCCATGGCACAGGTCCTGTCTCTGTTCTGACACTTTAAAAAGTCATGACATGAAGATAAATGAAATCATGACATTTGTAGGAAAATGAATGAAGCCAGAAATTACTAAAGCAAGTGAAGTAAACCAGAGTCAGAAAGAAAAATACCATGCTTTCTCTCACAAGCAAATCTTATATTTTCATTTTAAATATGCATATAAATGTGAGAAGTTATTAAAGTAGAAAGGGGATCATTAGAGGGGAAAAAAGAATTGTTAAGGCAACCAGGAGGCTAACAGAGTGCGTGTGACATGAAATCAGAACGGGGGCTATGAAGGGAAGGTGACTAGGAGCGCGATTGGGGAGATGGAGGAGGACCAATGAGAAAGTGTGTATGAAAATGCCATAACTGGGGCTGGAGAGGTGGCTCAGCAGTTAAGAACACTGGCTGTTCTTCCAGAGGCCCTACGTTCAATTCCCAGCACCCGCATGGCAGTCTGAGTTCAAGTTCCAGGGGATCTGACTGACACCTTCACACAGACACGCACGCCAATACATATAAAATAAAAATAAATAAATCATTTTAAAATTAGAAAAGAAAAGAAAATGCCACAATTAAGCATACTAATTTGCATGCTAATTTAAAGATGAAATATTTTTACAAAACGAAGAAGAACCAGATATAAAGTTGCCAGAAATAAAAATCCCTTTAGAATAAAGCTAAAAGAGAAAAGAAAAAAGGCATTATCAAAGCAGCTGTCAGTCTCCCACCCTCCATGGCAGAACCCACTCTGGACGGTCACTGCACACAGGCCTCCCTAGTGAAGCTGGATAGCAACAACCACATAAGTAGACAATTGTAAGACAACTACACAATAATTTGCATTATACATTCTACTCTGGTAAAATGAGAACGTGCATTTTTAAAAGAAATCAGCCTTGGTAAAGTATAGGGGAAACTCTAGGTATATCAACTCACATTGATCAAGCAGATATAACCTGCCTTACACTGAAGAGTCCCCAAGCTCACCACGAGACCTCCAGTGCTCAGGCCAGGCTTCTCCTGGGCTTTGCTGTGGCCTTTGAATGTCATCAATAATTTCAACACGACATTTCCCTTACACTTTTATTTTAGTACCTATGATTTAAACTGAACATTTTTTTTTCCAACTAAAGCAACCACCTGCCTCTAATTCGCAAGCGCTGCCTGTCCCAACCAGATATATATATATATTTGAAAGATAAAGGGAATGTTCTGAAAAAGAAAATTTAAATTCAGTTGAAATTTAATCTAATCTTTATACTCCCTCAAATATTCAACTTCCTTGAGGCTTTTAAAACTGCCTAAACGCCCGATATGATTGGCAGGATCTACCTCTGAACAGCCTGAGGGGAAAGCCCCAACCATCAGAGAACAGCTTCCTCTGCGGCAAAGACACTTTCCCAGAGTTCCCAGGGGTTTATTGCCCTCCTTCCATGTGCTCAGATTCTGAGTTCTCAAGCTCACCTCTGGCTTGGGTGGGTCAGCTTTTCCCTCATCCACCCTCCAAGAGTCCCCTTTCCCTTACTCCTCCATCCACGGTAACCCAAAGCCTAATGGCAAATATTTACAAAGGGCTTTCAGCGGCCTGGAATCATGCCAAGTCCTCCCATTTATTAATCTGTTCTTCTACTGACAGAGCACACATGATCCCTCAAATGTGAGCATGAGGCCCACAGAGACGAAGAAGACGGCCTGGAGATTGTACGGCCCAGCCTCATGTCTGTCCGTTCTTGTTTCCTGACTGTGGAGGCCCTGTGACCAGTCACCTCTGCCCAGTCACCATGACTTCCCTGCCATGAAGAACTGCACCTCCTTGCAGGGTTCTGCTGCACAGAACGCACCCTCCCTTCCTTCAGCTGCTCTGTCGGCTCTTTCACCAAAGCAACAAGAGAAGGAAGGAATATGTTTACACTAGTATTTGAGCAGTAGATACTCAGACATCAAGAAAAATCCTATCATTATTATCAAAATATATCAAAAAATATAAGTGGAAAAAGTAAACTGCTAAAGGATGCACACAGTATGTCATGTTTTGTAAATCAGAAAAATGTTTTTAAAAATCAAAAAAATACTGCAAATGTTGTTTATGACATCAGATGTATGTAATAAAGCTAAACACATAAGAACTACAAACAAGCTCAGAAAAGTGGCTATAGTGGGGAGGGAGGCAAGGCCAAGGCACGGGGTGAGGCAGGCTCAACCTAGGACTCTTTTTAAAAAGATACATTTTTAAGGGATTATGGCAAAAGCTTAATGTGGGTTCAATGTGAGAAGTTAGGAGCTAGTGCACGACATAGTTACACGTTGTCTGTATTTTTCCAGGCTTTACAAAATAATTCTTAATGTTAAAAACTTCCTCTACAGAAAAAAAGATATTTCTTAAACCACAATCATAAATTACTAGTTAAAGGAATGGGTCTGAGGCTGAGGAGACGGCTCTGTCAGTAAAGTACTTGCCTTGCAAGCATGAAGACCTGAGCTCAGTTCCCAGAACTAAGGGTGGAAGGAGAGAAGCAACGCTCCAAAGTCGTCCTTTACCTGAGTTAGTGCGCGTGTGCAGATACACACAGACTTATCAATTAAAAAGAAGTCGGATGGCACCTGAGGCACTACACTTGCTGTTGCCCTGTCAGCCACATGGACATGCACACATGGGCACCTACACACATACATACAGACATACACATATGAACACACTCACACAAAGAAACTGGCCGGAGTACAGCACAGCGGTATTGGGGGAGGAGGCCTTAGGCTCATGAGGCTCTGGTCTATGCTACAGGGAAGGGAGAGACTGAGAGGGGTGGGAGAAAGCAGATGGAAAGGGGAAAGGAACTGGGCGAAACCTAAAAACCATCAACCAAAGAAAGATCTTGGTTGTCTCTTTTTGAACGGGGAAAATTTCCAAGGCTTTGGGAAACTGCAAGCACTTCAATCTTCAGCAACTTAAGACAGAATTTACTGAAGTATTACAGTCTGCTTAGTCTTTTCCCTCCTCGTTTAAAGCAACAGCAATATCTTCTTGCCTTGGGGTCCTGGGAACACAGAAGACAAGAACAGCCAGAAAT